TGTTTCTCAGCAACAGAGGTTTGTGTCTGTGGTTCATTTCCACAGTAACCAGCGCTGAGTTTTATATTTAGCAGACTTCACTCTGATATGAATACATACAATGATTCAGCAAGGTTGCCTAACAAATAGAAATGAGTTTAAAGTGGTGATAGTTTTTTCAGTGTGGATGTAGAATGAATTTGTCTTGTAAAGAACTGTAGGAGGTACAATAAGGATATACAGACTTGAGGGAATCGAAAAAAGCATGTAATAAAAAATACAAAAAGGAGTTTATTTAGGTTTATTGTAGGGCTGCAACTAGTATGCATTATTTTGCTAATCAATTAATCGGTTGATTAATAATCAGAAAGCAAAGGGTTTCCTATAGAAAACCTATTCAGTTTTGATATAATTACTACTGTTTTGCATTTTCAGCTAAAAGCATGCTTTACAGTCTCTATACTCTGGTTAACATTAATCAATTACTGAATTAATTGACAGTTATTTCAACAATCAATTCATAACAGTTAATCCAATTTATTGTTTCAGGCCTAGTTTATTGGTTCTGAAGATGGTGGATGGTTTTGTTGTAAAAATAGTTTTCTTACTGATGTATTTTAGTACTCATAAGATTACACTTAAATAAACAACTCTGATTGAATGCCTCTCATCTAGCTATACAGAAATTGATTGATTGACTTTATTGATCTCACAGGGGAGAAATTTACTCGTTACATCAGCTCAAATAGTCAAAGAAGAAGAAGGTGCCAAAGAGAAAAAGGTGCATGGGACATATAAAGTATATACACAGCGTCCACATATGACAGCTTTTTTAAATTTTTTTATAGTAGGATTATTATACAGGGTTATTGCATAGGGTGTTTACATGTGTATTTATATAGATGGATATTTTTATATATAGTTATTGCACTGGATATCAATTATAGAGAAACATTTCCAAATAAACCAGAGGAAACTCTGCTTAAATCATGTTTATTAAATCCCAAACGTACTACTACAAAAGGACTTACTTCATCTGTTTACAAAATTGTTCTTTACTTTTCACCAGCTTATGACAAGCACTCAAAAAAATCTAAATGGGAGTTGGACTTAAACTGCAACTATGATGACAAAAGCTGAAACAGATTACTTAATTCATCTCAAACCATATTAACATCAACAAAACATAGACAAATTCAATTTAATATTCTTCACCGCATATATTATACCCCATATAGGTTGAATAAGCTGAATGCTAGTATCACTGACAAATGCCAGAGGTGTAGGATGTCTGTAGGGGATCTTCTTCATATGCTTTGGAATTGTGTATACTTGCAAATCTACTGGAATAATGTAATTCAGGTAACCTCATCAGTTTGTGGGCTACCTTTAGAACCTGACCCTAGGATCTGGATACTTGGAGATGTTATGTCTTTGAAATTAAATTCCTGTAAGAAATACTTTATTTTACTAGCATCATCTG